ATGCACTAAACTTCATACTAACCATGATGTCCTATGCCTTCATCATTGTGGCATCCTTCACATATGCTCAGCTGAGGGCAATAAACATACCTTCTCCACCTTTTCTGCACAACTATGCTCTGCATCTACAACCTGCCAACCATGGGATCTTCTGGGCTTCTGGACAAGACCATTGCTATTCTTTACACCACTGTCATCCTCCCTCTCAATGCCTTCATCTATACTTGGAGAAACAAGGAATTCAAACCATCCTTCAGAAAACTTCTATTTTCCTCTCAATGACTGAGTTTGTAGAGGAACAGTGGAAGCAACAGAAAGGGAGCTTAGAGCATCCTTCAGACCCTTCTTTTCATGTCCCCCACTACTGGGAAACAGTCTAGTTTTCCAAACCTGTGTAAGGAACATCATAGTCTGTACTAGATAATACCAGATATGCACGATTTTTAATGTTTTAGTAAGCTTTAAATATTTCTGCACACCCAAATATTGAAACATATGCCTATGAGACTGGTGGTCTTAAATATTAAGATAATTATTTAGGTCCTTGAATGAAAACCCTCTGCTAGCTAAATAGTTAAATATGGAATGTAAGTTCTTTTAGTGAGCATATTAAATTCCTTGATCCTCAGCAGCATAGCCATCACTAAATGGCACAGTAATAAATAAAAAGCCCTGTACCTTGTACATGCCTTCTGTGGACATTTACTGGCCTGGTTTGACTGTTTTCATCTTTCCTGTTCTCAGTTCACAGTTTTCCTTGGTGCTTGATTCATCCATCTGCCTCAGGGAATGAAATTCTCATTGAGGACTCAGGTTAGGAGGCTGAGCCTGAGAGCTTCTGATTCCTATCAAACCTCTTTTGATATCTAAAGATCTCAGATCCAGGTGCTGGTATAATGACCTCTTTCCAGATTACCTTTCTTGTCAGAGTTTTGCTAAGTCTCATCTCTAACAAGCCTCAGTCAACCTTCCCTGATGTGTTTTCTGCTACATGATCATCCTTCAATGACTGTTTTTATTCAACTTTGTATGTAATGTTAAAATGACATGTCTCACTGTGAGAGAACTCATTAATAAAGTGCTTATGGTGGTGTTAGCAAGAATACCTTGAGTATTTTGTACTGTGGTGTTTGGTTGATTATCAGTTCTATAGCTTAGATTGTAGTTGTGCAACTAATGTAGAATAAATAACACAAAATATGATTAAGAAATGAGGCACACAATTGAAAGAAAATGTCAAGTAAAACAGGACCATGACAATGAGTCATAGCTGTGATAACCAGTCTTCATGAGAACTTTGATTAGATTTAGAATTGCATAGGAGATGGCTGAGGGACACCTCTGTCTATGCAAGTGAGGATGTTTCCAGAGAGTATTCACTGAGCGGAATGCCTATCCTCAGTGTGGGAAACACCATCCCAGTAATTGAGGACCAGCAAGCATGGGAAATGGGAAAAAGAGAAAGCCAGTGAAGCATAGGTATTCCCATTTGTATTCCAGGTTGCAGTTGATACAAAGATGCTTCTCCACCACCTGGAGGTTCTGCTTCCTAAAGGGCCAGAAACAAGGAACCAAGTGACCATGGATTGAACATGAAACTAAATAAATGTTTGCTCTTTCTCTGAGGAATTTTGATCAAAGGGATGAAAGGTGAACTAATACAACTCAGCTGGCTTATATTATGAGCCTTGGAGTGGTACAACATCAGAGCATTATAATAATAAATAAAAATTCTTTTGATCTTTCCTATTTGAGGTTGTTTTGTTTTGGTTTGGCTTAGTATTTTTACATAGGAGCACACCAGGCAGCTCAGACTGGCCATGAACTTTGGTTATCCTCATGTCTCTGTTTCCTGAGGAATGACAGATGTGCCTAATGACAGATGTGCCTCACAATGCTAGGCGGAGGAAATGCCTTTCTGTTCCTAGTTGTTGAATGTTTTTATTCTGAGACTGTTGGATTTGCTAAATAATTTCTACATCTGCTGCTTTAGTCACTAGGTTTTCTCCTCTATTTGACCAGTGTCATATGTCATCGCAATTGATTTCTGACCATCCAGGATTTTTATTTTAAAATCAGTTGTTAGTGGTCACAATCATAATTCTTCTCATATATTACTGAAGTTTATTTCCTAGTGTTTTGCTAGAGCTTTTTCAATCTGGTTCATAACTGATATCTAGGAATTTTCTTTTCTGTAAGTTTTCTCCTGCTTTGATATCAGGGTCATGCTGACCCAATAGAACCAATTCTGGCAGTCTTCCTCTCTTTCAATTTCTGGGAAAAGTTTGCAGAGGAGTAATATTTATTCATTCTAAAACATTTATAGATGAAGACATCAGTACCTTTGAATTTTTTATTTTGTTCTTATGTCTTGGTGTGGGAAGTTTTGTTTAGAATTTTAATCTCCAAATCTATTAAAAGTTTACCTAAATTTGCTATTCTTTCTCTTTTTTAAGATTTATTATTTTAATTTTTATGTGTATGAGTGCAATACCGGAATGTATGAAAGTGCACCGGTGTTGGCAGTACCCGCAGAGGTCAGAAGAGGACATCAGATTCCTTTGGAAGTGGAGTTGCAGACTGTTGTTAGCTACCATGTGGGTTCTGGCAATCAAATCCCAGTCCTCTGCAAGAGCAGCCAGTGCTCTTAACTGCTGAGACAATTCTCCAGCCCCAATACTATTCTTTCTTAAATCAGTTTTATGTTGTTATATAAATGTGTCCAATTTATTTGTTATATAATATATTGGTATTTATCTGTTCTTAAGTTTTCTTATTCAAATTTTCTATAGAATGTATTTAATAATCTCACCCTTTAATCCCTATTTCTGTAACTTGAGTTTTCTTTTTCTGTTTCTTGATAAAATAGATTACAGATCCATATCATACACTTTATAGGGGAACCAAATTGTGTGGATTGTCACTACTTTCATCTGCTGCAGAAACGCAGCTGGTGCCATCCATACGTTAGAGAATATATACTCTCTGCTATGACAGTAGCACAGTAGCAAGCACAGATGACCTCCTCAGTGAGGATAAGACCCTCAATGGCCGCTCATTACATCAGGCTTCATTTCTCTGGTGATTGTTCCATATTTGGAAAAGTCAGTCAAGAAATCAGCAACCGCACCTACTACCCTCACTCCTGGATCCAAGTACAGAACCTACAGTCCTCTATCACAGGAACTCCCAGTCCCATCTCAGGAAACAATACCAACAGTCAGCGTCTCCACAGGACCCTTCATTCTCTGGAACCTTAGAGAAAATCTTTGTATAATTCTCTGTATCATGTAGAGTTCATTCCATTTCATGACTTTTAGATGCCTCACTCCAAGCTGTACCCCTCCATTCCCTGACATCCTTGCAGAAGGAAAGGTGCACCGTAAATGCATTATGAAGAAGCAAGTAGAGCTGAAGCCAGTGGTTTTTGTTAGGAACCCAGAGAAGGCTAACTTTAAGGCATTTGGGTCACCTGTGTGAGGTCAGAAGAAAAATTCATATTGGGCTATGGAACTGTCATTGGACACGTTCTGAGATGAAAAGTAAGCATAGAACCAATTTTTGGAGAGGACCCTTTGAGGGAAAAGGTGAGCTTGTCCTACATGAAGGGTCCTCAAGCCTCAAGGTGACACTGATATAGATGAGGGTTTTGGGACCTGGATTCTCATGCTGCCTGTAAGAATGGATTGGGTACCTCCTAGAGATACGGGAGATAGGTACAGTAAACCCTCAAATGGTAAGGTGCTGCCAAATGAGACTGAAAGTCTTAGTCTTATAATCATATGTGATTCTCAAATGGTACTGATTATGGTTCTGCCCAGACATTTAGAAGACTGAAACGCAAGTTACCCCAAATATCTCAGATAAAGCCTGTAGGTGATTCACTCATTCATAGACTATGCAGCTAACAGAGTGACATTGGCTTTCACAGTCTCTCCAAAATTACTGTGCACAGCTTTCTCCATAGATAAAGGGCAGAAACTAGGATAAGGATACATTTCAAAGACCACAGTATGATACAGAGACATTACAAGAATTAAAATGTGATCACAGAGATGTGTTACAGATGAAGGTTGAAGTAGGTACGGAGAGTTGGATTTCCTGTTAGAATAAAGTCCTGGCAGATAGAATGAGGAGTAACCACAGAGGTCAGGCATCGAAACTTCAGTAGGCAGAGCTATGGGTTATTTTTTTTTTCAGGTAAAGGAAGACCAGAGTAACATGTGGAGAGTTTTGAAGAATACAGTGGGACCATGTACTGAAGAAGGGAGGATACAGTTGGAACAGACCATTCATTACCAGATAATGTGAGTGTTGGGACATCTGGGATACATATACAAGCATTTGCTCTTATGAATGGCATTTGCAACAATGGAAGGTAGTACTGCAAGTTGAGCAAGAAGGTGTTGAGAAAAGTCAGGCTTTTTTATTTATCTCTGAAATGGAAATGTGTTTACCCCGATGGAAGAAGAGTACCTGTAGGACCTGGACTGGTGGTTCTGTAGATGAGACATTTATTGAATGCATACAGATATATGTAGACCAATCAAAACTACACAACACAGCCAAAACATGTAAACAGTTGCTGTCTAGGGGTGATTTTTCAAAATGGCCACAGGCAGTCCTCAGTGTTGTGATCCTGCTCTCAGAAAGACAAGTGTAAAAGAGGTCTAGGCCAGTAGAACAGCCTTCACACCTCCATTTAACTTTGAAAGGAGGGGTTAAGAACACTGACTGTTCTTGCAGAGGACCTGGGTTCGATTCCCAGCACCCCACATGGCAGCTACAGATTGTCCTTAGCTCCAGTTTCAGGGGAATCCGATGCTCTCTTCTGACCTCCGCAGCATTGCACGACACAGTTGCACTCACATGCATGCAGGCAATATACTCATACACACGAAGATAAAAATAATAATAAATTAAAAAAATATTTTTTAAAAAAAAACTTTAAAAGAAGGACAAGTGTCTTCTCGGGACAACATACACATTTCAACCCAAGGTCAGATAAAGAACAAGAGTCTCCCCAATGCCTGCTTGACCTCCTTGTTCCTCAGTGTGTAGATGAGGGGGTTCAGGGTGGGGCTCAAGACTGAGTACAGCACTGCAGACACTTTACTTCTCTCTGGACTGTAGCTGGAAGCAGGACTGATATAGGCACAGAACACAGACGAGTAGTACACAGAAACCACAATGAGGTGAGAAGAGCAGGTGGAGAAGGCGTTCCGTTTCCCTTCAGCAGAGCGCATACGCAGGATGCTGGTGATGATGCAGCCATAGGACAGCAGGGTAAACAGGAAGTTGATGCCTCCATAGAAAGCATCTGCCACAAGAGTCATGATGCTGTTCACATGAGTGGGGCTGCAGGATAGCAGCAAAAGGGGGGGAACCTCACAGAAGAAGTGGGTGATGACCTTGGGACCACAGAATGACAGCCGTATCATCAGAACTGTGTTGATGGAAGCATTCAGTGCACAGATGGTCCACACACCCATGGCTAGGGCCCCACATAGATGTGGACTCATCCTAGAGCTGTAGTGTAAAGGAAAGCAGATGGCCACATAACGATCATAGGCCATGACTGTGAGCAGCAGCAACTCAGAGGATGTAGACCAGACAAGGAAGAAGAGCTGAGCCATACACCCCTGGAAAGAGATGGTATTTTCCTTAAAGGTTAGTCCAACCATTGCTTTGGGTAGCACAGAGGAGGTACAGATTATGTCCATGGTGGCCAGGTTGCATAGAAAAAAGTACATGGGGCTGTGGAGTCTGGTACTGTAGCTGACTACAGCAATGACTATAGTGTTGCCCATGAAGGCTGTGGTATAGAGGAATAGGAAGCAGCTAAGCAGCAACAATTGTAGACTTGGATGCTCTGAGAATCCTTGAAGTACAAACTTGGTCACCAGTGTTTGGTTGAGGCTCAGTATCATTATGGAATAGTCTTGTCCTCACTGCTATGTCTTCAGGTATCTGAGAAAAGGTCACAGGTCACAATTTCAAAATCTGGTTTTCACACTTGCTTATCCTAAAACTTTCTTTGCTGTCAGAAAAGGAGAAAGTAAACTTTTTCCTTCATGGAAGCCTCTTGTCTCTTGCTCCCTGCCCAATTCCATTTTGAAAAGTACGTATCCTTCACTTGTATTTCACTTTCCACCCTTGAAATTTTCATCCTCTACTTTAGGTTTTTGAAGAACATTCAGACCTACCCTTTGCCTTCTTGACCATGCAGGCAGAGTGGAGCATCTCTTACTCAAGACTTGCCTACTCTTTCCTCTCTATCACCTTCCAGGGCTGTACTCTGTTGGCAGTGGTATAGATACATGTCTGCATCAATCACCTCCATAGGAGGTTTTCTCTCAACCAGTGGCACTTCTCAGAGGAACACATACTGAGATTTCTCTCATAGTTTACTTACAGCTTGGCTTCCTGGATCCTTGGTCTCTATCCTTTTTGTGTTATTTGGGGGTGGGAGAATCTGTAAGATTTTACATAGAAGCATAAATGGAAGTAGTTTTCCAGTGATCTAAGATGTTCCAAAATGAGATCAGAAAATGAGATCAGAAACCTATAAAGGAGATACCTATGGGGTACAACATAGTCTGTGTGTGATATGTGCCCTGGTCACTGAACATGCATTTAGAAGGAGTGTCTCAGGGAGCCAAAGAAAGCGGCAACTGGAAAACTGAAAGAACTGAACAAAGAATTCATTTCAACACTTCACAGCAAAGAGTGAGTTTGGGATTCACTTGGGATAAGCTAAATATTTGACAGAATCAAGACCAGCACTCTTTCTGTTGCTTTTTTATGTTGTTTGGGACAAGGTCTCACCATGTAGCCTAGGCTGACCCATAACTCATGATCCTCTTGCCCCAGCCTCACAAGTGCTGTAATTGCAAGCCTGTCTCATGGCACCTGGCTTAAAGTGAACCCAAATAAGCATTCACCAACCACTTCCAGAGAAGACTCCATGAACTAGGCAGCAGATCTGACTTAGCATCCAGCCAGTCCAGTCTCCAGGGTAGCCCCCACAATACTAGCTTCTGTGTTGCCAATTCTTGGACCGCCCCAGGGCACAGGGTCCAGGCCTACTCCAGTAAGCCAGAGAAGCAGGTTAATATATATAGTCATAGGATGAGGCTGTCCCTTACACCCAAATCCAAACACTATGCAGACCCAAAGATCAACCCCATTGACCCAAGCTCTAGGCTAACTCACTTGTGCTGGTTAGTTTATGTCAACTTGACACAAACTATGGACTCCTTGGAAAGGGAAACCTCAGTTGAGGAATTTCCTCCATCAAACAGGCCCGTGGACCTCTGTGGGGTATTTTCTTATTTCTGGTTGATGTAGAAGGATCCAGTCCACTGTAAGTGCTGCCACCTTGGCAGGTAGGCCTGCGCTATATAAGAAATGAAGCTGAGCAAGCCAGAAGAAGCAAGCCAGTAAGCAGTATTCCTCCATGGTCATTGCTTCAGCTCCTGCCTTCAGATTCCTGCCTTGAGTTCCAGTCCTGACTCCCATCAATGATGAATTGTTACTTGGAAGGGTGTGATGCAATAAACCCTTTCTCCTTAAGTTGTTTGTAGTCAGAGGTTTTATCACAGCAACAGAAAATAAACTAGAACACTTGTGAATTCAGGAAGAAAACTAGTCTGCCTGAGAATTCCTGTAGTAAGTATCCATACACACATTCAACACATGATTACACATCAGATAGCCTATTTGTAATTCCTGAAAATGAGCTGATTAACTTACCTGTCAAAGCCTCAGCAAAGACTGGGAGAAGAATCTTAACTGTTAAATATGTAAATTCCAATTAATGAGCTTCTAATGAACATCCTTAGAAACATGATATCACCAAAGGAAACAAGTCCTGACCAATAGAAATGGGGACTTTAGAAGCTGCCTTACAAAAGATTTTAATGTAATCATCTTTACGGTTTTCTATATGCTAAAAGAGAATAGACTAAGCAGAGTCAGGAAAACAGTAAGGGAATAAAACCAAAAATTTAACAAAGGGATAGAAACCATTATAGAACAAATACAAATTATATCATTCAAGAATATGACTTAACTATAACACTCCTCAGACAATTTCAAAGTAGACTCAGAAGAATAAGTGTACTCAAAGGCAAGCATTTGAAATCTCCCAGTCAGAAAAAGAATAGATAAAATTCTCCCTCCCACCCCTTGTGAAAACTACAGGACACCATCAAATAAGCTGGTACATATAGAATGTATACCAAAACAAAAACGTTAAAGGGAAAGGATATAGAAAGCACTTAGAAAGAAATAATAATAGAAAATCCCCCATAGCTATGATAAGTCATACATATGCTTATAAGGGGAGTTTCAAATCCCCTAATTACTTTTAATCTACATAAGACTATACCAAGACATGTTATAATCAACTGTCAATATCAAATTTTTTACATTTTAATTGAATTTTTGTGAGTTTCATACAATAGATTTTTATCATATTTAGACCCCCTCCCCTATCTGCACCCCCACTGGATTTCATGTACTCTTTCATATATATTAAGACCTTTCAAGACAAGTTTGTGTCCCCAAATGTCCTTCAGTGTGTGCCCATCCACCGGAGCCTGGTTAATCTATTAAACACCACACACTTAAAGAAAACCAATTATCCCTCTCCCAGTAGTTATTGGTTGCCAACAGTCCCTCAGACAAGGTTGGGGCTTCTTCCCCACTACTAGCTGGGAGGATTGTCTGGTTTGAGTGTTCATGGATCTTTTGCATGCTTTTATCACTGCTGTAAGTTCATATGAGTAATTTCCCAGCTGTCTGGAACATGCTGTTTCCTTATGGTAGTCATCCACGACCTCTGGCTTTTATAAGTCACTAAGCCTTGGATAGAAGAGGTTTGATATATGAAACTAGAGAGGCTGAAATGGTTAGAAGAAAACTTAGACAACACCCTACAAGATATAGGTGCAGAACAAGGTCTTTCTAAATTAGACTTCAGTTGCTCAGGAATTAAGGGTAACAATAGAAGCTCATTAAGCAATATCATAAGTTAATGGACTTCTGAGAGCAGTGAAAAAAAAACATACCATATACAAGAGAACTCTAGTACAGTTTTCAGCTGATTTTTGAGCTGATCTTACAGGCCAGGAAAATATAGGATGGTATAGTCAAAGTGTTGAAAGAAAAAGGAGGAGGAGGAAGAGAAAGGAGGAGGAGGAGAGAGCAGAGGGGAGGAGGTGGAGGAGAAAGAGGAGGAGGAGGAAGAGGAGGTGGAGGAGGAAGAGGAGGAGGAGGAGGAGGAGAAGCCAACAGCATGGGAGGGGGAAGAAGAAAAGCAAGCAACATTTTGCCTAAGCAAATTTTCCTTCAGAAAAGGAAAGATGAATATTTTCCTAGAGGTGCAAAAACAGAAATCATCACCAACCACTAATCCTCCTTATAGGAAATATGTAAGGGAGTTCTTCAAAGGTACATAACAGAATGATAGTGAAAACACAAAATTCACTATGTCAGATAAATATATATTCAAATTTGGAATGTGCTAATACTATAATGGTGGAGTGTAAAAGTTTGCCTATCTTTAGAAAGTTTAAAAGCATTCTGCAATAATTTTGGATATAATAATTTCTGAAGGAGCACACAATATAAAAAGATGTAAATTTTGACAAGAAAAATATAAAACTTGGTAGTGAGAAAAAGCATATAGTTTTTCTATGCTCTTGAAGCATAAGGTAGAATATTATGAATGTAAGATAGTCTATATCAGATTGTGAAAAACATCAGACAAATACTTATAGTTGAAGAAATATTTCCAAACTCAATGAGGTCTATACTGCCCAATACCAAAGCCAGACAAGAACAATATAAGAAAATTATATTTCATGGCTTTATATGAACACAGATGTGACTACCCTCCAAATTTAGCCACATATAAAAGGATCATCTTCCATGAAAAGCAGTATCTAATCAGGGATGCCAGGATGGTTTAATGTCCATGAATTAATTAATGCAATATACCACATCAACATAAGGAAGGATAAAAACAATGTGATCATATCATAGATGTAGAAAAAGGGTCATTTCACAGAATCCAAAAGTCCTTTGTGATGAATATTCAAAAATTAGATACAAAAGTAATGCCCACCAGAGGGCCTATAAGAAAAACCCATAAACAACAAATCATGTTTGCTGATTAAAATTAAAAAAAAAACCCAAAACTGAAAGATTTTTCTCTATAATCTGGATCCATATATAAATGTTCACTGAAACCACTTTTATTCAACATAACATTGGAAATACTGGGGGCTGGAGAGATGACTCAATGGTTAAGAGCACTGGTTGCTCTTACAGAGGACCCAGGTTCAATTCCCAGCACCCACATGGGAACTAACAACTGTCTGTAAATCCAGTTCTAGGGGATCTGACACCCTCTTCTGACTTCCATGTGCACAGCACAACACTGGTGTACCTACCTGCATGCAGACAATACACTCATATACGTTAAAAAAATAAATAAAATATTTTTAAAAAATTGGAAGTACTAAACAGAGTAATTAGACATAAGAAATATCGAAATATATGCAAATTGGAAATACAGAAATGAAACCGTATTTATTTGGAGATGACATGATCATTCAAGTGTGTGTTTGTATGCATATATATATATTTAGATAGATGATAGATGATAGATTAGATATAGATAGATAGATAGATAGATAGATAGATAGATAGATAGATAGATATAGATAGATATATGAATGCACGCATGTGACCGAAGGCACCACCAAAATATGTTGGAACAATGAAATTAATTCAGCAAAGTTCTGAAATGCAAAATCAACACAAAATAAAGCATTAATATACATTTAAAAGAACTATCTGAAAACAAAATTCTATAAACAAAATCATTTACAATAGCCACAAATATAAAATCTACAGGTAAATG